CAAATTTTCTTTTTTTTTTTTCAACAGAAAAATATTAAAAAATAAGTTTGAAAAAACTGAAATCAGACCAACCAACTCAGCTGGCCACATAGTCACGTAAATTGACTTGAACATTAATGTGTCCATTTTTTCTGAACAATAACAAGGACTCAATTATTCAGTCAACAAAAATCTGCTGGGTCATAATTTCTTTTTAAAAAACTAATAAGCTAATGTGCTATTAATTATTTTTGGAGATATATTAATTATTTATTTTAAAGTTATTATTTCAAGAAAAAAAAAATAAAGGAGATTGTATTAAGAAAATGAGTTGAGGTATGTGTATAGTGGTTGAAGCATTTGTCTGAATTAAGGGAAATAAAACAACATTACACTAAATTGATAATTGTATATAGTTAAATGGCAATTTTCAAATTATAAACATAGACTGGTCCATAGTAAAGGTTGTGATACTGACATGAGTTGGTATAAGTTGAAGAATCTTAATATTTTTTAAACATGTCATTTTTAACTCAAATCAATTTTAATCTATAAAATAAATTGTCGATAGGAAAAGGTCTATGGTTTTAATGTTTTTTATTTTTATGGAAAAGATTTTAATGTAGAACAGATATATACCAACCACATCATTAAAAAAAAACAATACAGCTAGTAAAAAGAAACTAGTTTTTAAACTTCATATTGAATATATATATATATATATATATAACCTAATTAAATTTAGCAGAAAACAAAAGAATTAAACTTAGAAAAAGATGGATAAATTACATTTTCCACTCCATTATTCTAAAATTTATTTATTTTATATGAACTAGGTTAAAATCGACCATAAGTAATTTAAAAAATTGAAAGAAATATTATTCGATATTTAAATTAAATTTTGATAAGATGTGTTAAAGAGACAAAGAAACAAAATAATTTGTAAAAAAGTGCGAATGGTTCTCTATTTTTTATTATTATTATTAAAACAGAACATTATAAAGGTTTAAAATAAAGATGTTATGTAGTGTCGAATTTTGTCTATCGTCCTATTTCAGTCTAAAATGTCACACTCATCACATCAAACATAGTTAGTAACGAAAGTCAACAACTAGTTGTAGAGCATTTATGTCTCACTCATCACATCAGACATAATTATTTAATAATTATTTAACGAATGATAACTTTCACAAAAAAAAATAGTAATATTAACCCATGTGCTAAAACTATTATTTATTTCGAAATATTAGAAAAAACATAATAAAAGTTTTTTTCAAGTGATGAAATTTCTATAATTCATAGAACATCAAGAGAAGTCTATCTCTTATGAATAAATCACATATTTATTCTCTTTTACATATAATTTTGTCATAATTATCTTTCTTGCAACATATTGTTCAATTCATCTCATACTATCAATCCCATGGTATTCGATAAACATTTCTTGTATATTATTATTTTAATATGATTCTTATTAACTTGTAACAATTTTTATAAACTTTTATTTTATTTTAAATTAATTATATCACATATTTTTTAAGTAACTCCTAAAAAACTCTGTTCTAAGAATATTGCACAAGATTCATGGTTTTAAAATATTTTATTTGTGCTTCAATTCCTTACAAATTAAAAGATGTTTTATGAATTTAATTCTACTGCTTTCAATACATATTATTGATATTAAAAATTTATCTTTTATTTTTAAGAACAAATGCATTAATTCTAATGTTTTAATTACATCTATGTTCTAAATTTTTTTTAATCCAATCTTAGAGTTAAAAGTTTTGTATAAATATATATTTATTTATTAGAAGATATAATGTTAACAAGTTCAGTCTCCTAAGATTAATATTATTTTCAACTTAAAATAATAAATTTGTAAATTTCATTAGTTATAAGGTCCTCGATTCTTTTAGATTTAACTATAAGGTCCTCGATTCTTTTAGATTTAACTAAATGTAGAATGTAAACTCACCTCTAAAATTTCTAACTTTAAGTATTTTTATTAAATATAAGTTAAATTGGTACATGAGAAATATGTTATTGAAGTACAAGAGGCATTTATCCTATAAAAATATTATGATGAGTTGTAGAGACATGATCAATGTAGTTTGAAAAGAGCATCATATGTTGAAAATTTAAGTATGAGTCTAAGTTTTACATTGGATAAAAATGAAAAGGTAGAGCAATATATAAATGTGAAAGACCAATTAATGCATTATCTTAAGGTTTTGAGTAAAGAGTAGTATTGATCCGTTATATAATTGGTTTAGATGTTCTTGATGTTCTTATAAACCACAGGAAATCTCTTCTTAGATTGACCTAACATTATGATAATCGAATTGAAATGAAGCGAAAAAATAAGATGAAATGGTCAAATGATGTTTCGAAGGTTTGATACCACTTTGGCATGAGTTCTAAGATCTTAGCCAAAAAGGCTAATTCATAACTCTGCATTTCTCGCAAGAAGAAGCCAAGTGTCCAACATCTGTTTTTCATGTTCTTCTCGGATGTCAATAGATATGCCCAAGATACACTTCAAATCTATGACAGCTATACAACATCTTACTTTTTATCCCACATCTACAACCATTTATATATATATATATATATATATATATATATATAT